GTGTGCAGCAGGTGGCGGGTCATCTCTGCAGATGGGTGGAATCGGGCCGAATTAAAAATGCCTTCACTGGGAGACGACAGTAACTGCAACATCAAAACTCATCTTTACATCATTTGCATAAAGATCAGTACTAAGCTAGAACAGTGATACTGTGTGTGTGTGTGTGTGTGTGCACGCTAATTAATTCACCCACTCCCAGCATTTTAAGCGTTTAAGCCAAGCCTGGGGTTTATAGTAACTCTGGATATTAAGCAAATCTCATAGTGAAGTGTGTGTGTGTGTGTTTCTGTTTGTGTGTGTGTTTCTGTTTGTGTGTGTGTGTGTGTGTGTGTGTATTAGCATTAGCTGCATTGCTGTATCAAGCTAATCCTTAAGATAACAGTGAGCTTTGTGCACGCACACATGAACACACACTTTTGAGCAGACTATCACTTGGACCGTCCCTGAACACCAGTATTGTGTTTATCTGACGTTCTGAAGCTCTGCTCAGAACACAGTTACTGTTTTTAAATAATAACCAGCTGTGGTTTCTTTACCATGTGTCTTACTGCTTTGCTGGTTAGTCATCAGATTAACATATTTAATGAGCTCACACTGGCACCTTTACAGGATGTTAGTCATATGCACACTCATAGTACCATGAGTCTCAGTCCCACAAATAATCTACGTCTGCCTTTATATTTATTGCATTACCTTTAGTATTGTCATGCTCTCACAAAGACTTTCTCTTTTGTGTGCCATTTAAGGAATCAGGTTAGTGCACAAAGTCGACTGTAACCGGGTTTCTGGCAGCTGGAGCATTAAGCTTTAACTAACAGGTTGCTGTGCTGTGATCGAGCTCTGCTAGTATGCCAGCTGCCGTATTGATTCAGAATTGATCCAAACAGCAGCTGCCAGCGAATAGTGGACCACGGGTGGTGGAAACACTGAGACCAAGTCTGACTGGTGGTGGATTTTGGCTCAGCGTGTGCTAAAAATACTAAAAAGTTCCCTCAGAGACTCCTCTGGTCACTTCAGATGTCAAAAAGTTGGCATGTTAATCAGTTCATTGTGAACTTGATGAAAAACCAATTAAAACTGCAGTTTTATACCATTGTTCTATCGAAACACGGCAGAGGAAGTCAATGAAGAAAACAAAGCTTCAACTGATGGACGGTAAAGAGTGTGTTTGAAATTCTACTGATATTTTGTTATTTTGCAGTTTTTGATGCCTAAAAGCTCTTCAATTAGGAAATGAGCACAATTTTCTAATGTATAAAAGCAATAAATTATAAAAACTATGTGTGTGTTTGTGGATTTGTGTCATTTATATAACCATCACTTAAAGTGACATTAGCCAGCTTTTAGTTTTTAATGTTACAATAAATGTCCATATGGTTAATGGACTGTAACACTTATCCAACTTATTCCCATCGAGGTCAAGGACAGAGCAGGAAATCAAAATATCAGTGAAGACTCAGAAACCTTAGCCACTGGTCCTCCTTCCATAGAAGTGAAGACGAATTTAGATTTCTGGATGTGAAAATCAATGTTATACATCTCTTTGCACAGATTCATGAATCCATAACTGTCATGAAAATTTGAATTCCACGTCAGAGGGATGGGTTTAAAATACCTTTGTGTTTGTGTGATCAAAGCACCGAACAGCAGCTGCTGTCCTGCTCTGCTCATCGATCTGTCAGAATCATTACTCTTAGACTCAGCTCGTGTTGTGTCACAATAGGGGATAGTTTCCTGTCTGCAAAACAGACGGCCATTCACAGTTGCCTGGATGGATCAAATAACAGCACCTCAATGAGTGCAGTAATGCATGTCATTACAACTCATTTCACAAATTTGGACTGACTTTCAATGAGCAATCAGGCATCTTCAAACAGTTTTGGAATCTAGCGTCTCATTTGTGAAGATGCTCTGGTTTAACTCATCGGGCTTATTTAGGCAACACTCACAGTCCAATGAGGCCGTCCATGTAAAATAATCAGTTTCTTCAGACAGGCAGCTTTCTGCTCACCACCAAACATTTTAACCTGCTGCCTTTTTGTAAATCTGACCACACAGCAGGAAAAATAAAAGTACTAGTGGATGAACAAATCCAGATGTAGGATTTGCTTGATTTAGGCCACTAACATGTCCTCCACCTCTGATTCTGTCGCTCTTTACACTCAGTACTCATGTATATTCATCTCAAGTCAACAATAATCGAGCTGTTCCACTAATAAAGCTTAAAAGCTTTAAAGAAGACATACATGAAGCCTTGGCAAACTAAATGTTGAGATTTCATCTTTTATTTTTTTGTTTACAAAACACTTTTTAAAATTATTTTCATTGATCATGTTCCTCTAAATAATGATGGAGTTATTTTAAGCTTTCTTAAGTCAGTATAATTTTGGCTCAGAGCACATGTGTCCTCTTTGGCTGCTTCATAACGAGTGTTTCTGTTATTTTGTCAGCTGATCAGCTCAGATGATAGACTGGATCCAGCTCTCTAAATATTGCACAAGGTTGTATTAATATATTATTACATTTGCTGCATCATTTCCTTTATGTCCCAAACAAGCAAATACAATAAAAAAAAAATCACCATGATTACTAATGATAGTTTTATACAGATGCTCAGCAGCATATTGCTCATTAGTGGAAACACTTTTATCCAAACAGAAGTCACAAGCCTCTGTGACAAGTGGAGAAATCACCAGGTGTAAATACCTGGTTAGTGTTGTTTAATACAACACAGCAACTTGAAATGGAATTAAATTTTCTATATCTGCATGTGCATCATTAGGCAAAGCTATAAGCTAACTGTCTCAAATATTGTAGAGCTTGAATACATAAATGCAGGTTCTGGTACAGTACAGTTAATTAGCTGAAATCACTGATATTATCTGCATAAAAGCTTAAATGGAGAATACGACTCCTGACATTTTCCATGTCCAGCTACAGTGGAGGTTAGCAAACTTCAAAGGAGCCGTTATTGAGTAATTTTTGATCCCAGAAAAATCTGTATGATGTTGAAACACATGTTTGAGCTTTATAATAAAGGTGCTGCAGCCTGTAGCCTATTAAAATTACAGGTAAGTGTAAACCTTTAAAATCTTTTAGAAAATGGGACTAATGGGTCATGTTTTTATAGCAAAAATATCATGATTTTGTTGTATTCATAATTAAAGCAACAAAAGAATGATTTATTAAAAATGTTTTTTCATTGACAAGAAAACAGACCGAGCGTGGATTAGCTGCTTTGCACATCTCTAGCATTGACAGAGACATTTCAGGGATTTATACTCGGTCTGCACTCCAGATGAGTTAATTGTAAATCACGTTAGTCATGATGATGGCGCATTAACGCTGACAGCACTAAAAATATATATAAAGTCGCCAATTTGGGATGAAAGAGATAAACCTAAGAATGTAACCAAAGCGGTCTGTCGCTTGTGCAGATGTATAGTGCGAGCAAGTACTCAAACACGACTAACTTGCATGAGCATGTACATGTCCACCATCCAGCTGAGTATGCTAGGCTACCAGCAGCTTCTGCAGCTCCATCAAGCATTTGGGCGCACTCTGAAGAGGGTGCATTTGCTCGCAGATGAAAAAGGGTGTTGTTAAAGCAGCACTATTATTTGGACTTTTGACTGCTTCTATTAGCTCCATCGTTATTAGCAATCTTACTCATGAGAAATAAATAAATCGCCCTTGTAAAAATGATCAGGCTCAGCCTACCGTCAGTAGTCAATATATTCATCCAATTGCCCAACCCTAGCGTGGATTCAAAAGGTCTGTGTGTATGCTTAGATTTGAATCTGTAGCCATGCAGATATATGCAGGCGGTGTCCTGCCTTTAATGGGTCACCCCTGACTTCTGTCAGTGGAGCAGAGCCGACGCTCCCCCTTCAGACATTGGCTGAAGAGAAAACTCTAACCTGAGACCACACAAGTTCATCGCTGGTGTATTTTCAAAGTTAACATCGATGGGCTTATCTGACCCGCTGCTCCCACCGTCGCTCATCTTAAATGGTCAGATTGAAGACCCTGCCTAAATGCTTGTTACACTGAGTCTTTGTAAGTGATTTAAGCTCATGAAAATCCATGCGTTGAACTCTGAGCCATTCAGACACTCTAAGCAGCTTAATTTTAGCCAATGCAGTTCATTAAAATAGACCCACATGTCTGAGACAGGTCTTCAGAATCAGGTCAGCGTGCCCCAAAATCATCACAGTTAGCGTCTTTGTCAGATATTCCTCCTTGAACAAGGCAATCATTCTAGATTTGCTTTATGTCCTCTTCATAAAATAATGTTGATCACTGTGTATTATGTTACCATTAGCAAGTCTAAATATATAACACAGAATAGAGAATTCATCATTTCCTATAATGACTCTCTTTATCACGCAGTTTTATTGTATTCAGGCTGCACTGGTCTATATGGCAGCCCTCTTGCTCATGGAGCCAATCAGAATTGAGTAGTATAAAAGTGAGGAATGAGTTAATTATGTCTCATCACTGACTAAAGCTCTTCTCAGGCAGAGTCCTTATGTGGTAATGTCTTTACTCTGTCCAATCACAGCTGAGCTCAACATTTTTCCAAACAATTAACCACAAGTTTGTGTTTTTCACAATACGTTGAAAAGACGTTGATAAAACACTGTGTCAGTGCACACACACACACACACACACACACACAGATAGAGGCCACACATATTCGTGCATGAAATAATAAATGTATCAGCACACAGTCTGTTTCCCATCTGCACCATGGGGAAGAAATCTGATGTGGAAACTGCAGCAGAGGCTTATGGGAAATTCATAAGGAGTTTTATATGTACGCCCGTGTGTGAGTGTGTGTGCGTTTGAGACAAGTGGAACACACACAAAGACATGCACACACAGGCGTATGGCATGTGGAGTGTGAGTTAATCAATGTCGTGAATGTGAAGCTTTGACCTTTTCAAGCTGAACCACTTGCTGGTATAGGAAAAGTGTGTGTTTCCGTGTGTGTGTACCGTCTCTCTCTCTGCATTGTGTATGAGCTCCTGAAGAAGCCCAGCAGCTCGTCCTCGATGGCAGCATCAAAGCTCACGTTTAGCCGGTAAACCCTCATCGGCTTCATCTCGCGGTGCAGCGCCACCACGTACATCTGATTGGCTGGGAAGGGGAAGTGTCGGTGGATACGCATGACTCCGCCCCCGGGCCTGTTGGAAGGACGACCTCCAACACCGCCCTCAGCAGTAACTGTCACCCGGTCCACCTGATGGATGGAAGAGAAAATAGGATAAAGTCATCCACACACCAACTGTGTCTCCACAATAAGACTCATCTACAAGTGCAGACCAGAAGAGTGAAATATGTTTGGATATGCTATAATCAGATTTCGTGTTTTATTATCATTAAATAAATAAAATCTTGGTAGCGATAATAGCAAATCACACAGAAACGCAGTAATCCATCAACAAATTGAGTTAAGGAGAAGCCTTTCAGCAAGGAAACATGAATGCGAACAGCACAGGATTTAAACATTTAAAAGCTTCAGGATATTTAAAATTCATTTTGATGAGTGACACTCGATGTTAACAGCAAATCTGCAAAGAAACTCTGCAGGGGTTGTTTAATAGGATGCACGTGTACACGCGTACTCGTGCATCCTAAACTCCTCAAACTCAGACACACGCTCACTCACATCCAGAGCACCTCTGAAAGCCGCTGACTTCCTGTTGCTGCTCATGTTTATGTCATTTCCCGCCTGAAACATGACAGCAGTGGTTGATTTCTGAGGTGGGTTAAAGCAAACAGCAGCTGACTTCTTGTGATCCTACAGGTGAGTGCGTGGGAAATGTCTGACCTAGGGCTGTGCGATATGACCAAAATCTCATATCCTGATATAAGAATTCTATTGTCCCAATAACAATAT